ATTAATCAGTGGATGATATTTCGCTTTTATTATGCAAATTCTAGCTTTAAAAACGCTAAGATGCAGCGATAAAAATTTCCAATTAATTTTGAACTCGCGAGTTTTGTACCTACGCGTCTTGAGACTAACTCTAAGCAACGTAACTTTACTTTACATACGGCCGTAGATAGCTTCAGAAATAAAAATTATTTACTTTGAGCTCACCAGTTTTGTATCCCATAATTTTAAAAACACTAAGGCTAGGTTGCAACATCTTACTTTAACTCTGACAAACGTCAAAAATCTGTCAAACTCCATACAAAAAGCGTCGGTTATCGTCATAGTTACGGTCAAAGTTAGGTGCTGCAACTCAGCCTAAGATGAAACAATTAAATCTTCAAAACCCAAAGTTTTGTGCCTACACGTCTTGAGACTATAGTCGCTAAGCAACGACCGTACATAGCTGTAGCACTAAAAATTCGTTGCTTTGAGCACACCAGCTTTGTATCCCATAGTTGACATTCCTCGCGCGACGGCGACACAGCCGCGGAATTCGCTGCGTAAGTTTTAACGCAATTTGAATGCTAATACAACCCTCTGTCTTGTTAGTCTTTGTTTTAATTTTTGATGAGCTAACAGTTTGTTCGGACTGTGATGAGAATTGTCATCTAATTAGAGAGGTCTGTAAACAGCGGCAAATTTTTTTGGGGCACCTGCGAGTTCCCTAGGTGTTATTTTCTATGAAATAAGATCATCATCATCATCATCATTTCAGCCATAGGACGTCCACTGCTGAACATAGGCCTCCCCTAATGCTTTCCACGTTGATCGATTGGTAGCGGTCTGCATCCAGCGCTTCCCTGCTACCTTTACGATGTCGTCGGTTCACCTTGTAGGTGGACGTCCCACGCTGCGTTTTCTGGTACGCGGCCTCCATTCCAGAACCTTGCTGCCCCATCGACCGTCAGTTCTGCATACTATATGCCCTGCCCATTGCCACTTCAGCTTGCTAATCCGTCTGGGCAGCGTTCGGGAAACTACGTAACATCTTTTCGTCCAAAATACCGCAGTGCCTGAAGACGAAAGTCTACAACGAATGTGTGTTACCAGTGATAACGTATGGCTCGAAAACGTGGCCTCTCACTATAGGCCTTATACAGAAGCTCAAAGTTGCACAGCGTGCTATGGAGAGGGCTATGCTTGGTGTTTCATTGCGAGATCGAATCAGAAATGAGGAAATCCGTAAACGAACTAAAGTCGCTGAAATAAGATAATCCTCTATTATTAAACAATAACAACAATTAAGCAGTTTAAACAATATAAGTTACTGAATGCTAAATTATTCAAAATTGTCTATATTATAATGAGTATGTGTCATCATAGATGAAAAATGTGTAATAACGTAAATTTTTATCCTGCCGTATGGTCGGGTATCGGACTGCAACGCCAGTTACAGTTATAAGTTATAACATTTCCAACAGCAGTTAATTGTAACAGTCAGCCCTATCGCATCGGCACAGTACCGATCACTGACATAAAGTCAAACGAAACGGTGCCCGACTTTGAGTCCAGCAGCAGAAATACATCATATACTTAGGTATCATCATCATTATCGTAGGACGTTCAAGGTGGACCGACGACCTCATAAAGGTAGCAGGAAAGCGCTGGATGCAGACCGCCACAAACTGTACACATAATCAATATTATTCTGTGATCACCATCATCTTTATTTTTAGCTAATGGCATTTATAATAATCTTATTCAAAGTATATTTGTGTTATCTCATTACAAAGGCGTCCACAAAGATAATTTTCATTGTGCCAAAGACATACCACGAGCTTCTAGTGCCAGCTAGCTACTAGTCCATGGGTTTCCAAAGTGTGCGCCGCGGCGCCCTGGCGCTCAGTAGACATTTCATACTGATACTGTAGTTTACTGTTTCATACAGATGTTTGAATTTTTGTTCCTATTTAACTTACGATACTACTGATACTATTATCAACTATCATTATAGGTGCCTATTTCTTTCTACAGTATCTTTTTCAAAGGGTAGGGCATCGTAGGTGTGTCGTAGTACGCAGATTTGACGGCTGATGGGGTAGCAAGGTTCTGGAGTGGAGGCCACGTACTGGAAAGCGCAGCGTGGGACGCCCATCCACAAGGACCGACGACTGACGACCTCATAAATGTAGCAGGAAGGCTCTAGATGTAGGCCGCCACCAATCGGACATTGTGAAAATTATTGGGGGAGGCCTATGTTCAGCAGTGGTCAGATGGAGCAGCTAATATGATGATGATGATGAGGGCGTCGCGTCGTAATAAAATACAAAATTGGTAACTGCACCGCGGGATGAAAAAGATTGGGAACCCCTGACTAGTCCATAGTCGCTACCGTGCAATCACGAAACTAATTACCAATTTTAATTAACATTCCCCGATTTAATTTTCGCTGACCCATTAGAAGTTATTCCATTTTGTGATAATGCACACTCTGGTAGTTTTGTGGCGAATTTGGAATATGAGATACGAAGTTAAATAAGCATTGCGACACAATTATCTTTTGGATAGAATTAATTTAGTTTAAACAGTTTTTTCTTGTTTTACTCTTATGTTATTTATGTATCATGGCAGTTGACTGTATTTGGCACTTTTTTCAAAAAATAATTCCACTTATCATTCTGATAATATGTTTTAATAAGTTCAAAATCATTTTGAAATCCAGAAAATTTATAAGTTTGCAAAATAGTGACGTCATCAACTTTTATTGATCTACAAAATCTATTCATTCGCATTATTCAATTGCTTGGTGATATCATGTGTATTCCATTTTTTAGTATTTTGTTTCACACAGAAAACCATGCACGAAAAGCCAAAGAAAATCCTGTTGAAGCTGCTTATTTGTCACTTGCCTAAAATATCGCCACTCTATTTCTCCTAAACCAGTATACTTGTAACAAAATTAGCGACTTTACAAAAACTCCAGTGCTCATTCTTCACAAGAACCCAAGAGTGCCTCTTTAGTAAGGACTCCTTATTCTCTGAGGAGGGATAAGTCGGCGGGTGTTTAAGATACCTATTTATCTTGGATTTGGGAAGGACAAAACATCCTTATGTATTGTTTTGGCAGAATGAGTTTGACAGTGCTTTACGAGGTCTATGTGATGTATGAGTACTAGACCTTTAGTTCGATTAGTTCGAATCTAAGGAGTGATGTTGTTTTTCGATGTTTTACCTTACATGATAGAAAGTTTTAATGGCAAGGATGCCAGTTGGCTTGTGATTTTGAATCTAAATGGGAAAAACTTATAGCACAATTTTGTGGGAAAAATATGAGATTTGAAGTAGTAGAGCAGCCGATCGTTATGTACGTACATTCTCAGTAGATTTTCATTGGATAACTAGCTTTCCGCCCGCGGCTTCGTCCGCGGTTTTACCGAAAATTATTAGAATTTTTCGGTCGCCGTAAAAATCATCCTTGGATTTCAACGAATATTCTCGATTGGTCTAGGCATTATTGAAATATGCGCTCACCAACGCATTTTGCGATTCATTTTGATATTATAGATGTAGGTACCGGTGTAAGAAATACCTGCCCTACCTTGAAGTTGTTAACAAGTAAATCTCTCTTACTTTTGAAGCAATTATTATAACATACGAAAATAATAATATTTGAAAATTATAAATAACTTGAAGAAATCGAACTTGAAAATTTCGACGGGTTCATCCAGTATCTAAGTAGCTCAGTTGGAAGAGCAGTCGCCCGGCAAGCGGAAGGTCGTGGGTTCAATTCCCGCCTTAGGCAGTTCGATTTTTTCAAGTTATTTATAATTTTCAAATTAGTTTGAGATGCGACTCTTAACGCTAAAAATTTAATAACTAAATAATAATATTTTTTTAAATTATCATTTACTTATCCTAGTCTTTTCTGACGTAACCAATGCCCGTATTCACAAACGATGCTTGCTTAAGTGAAGCAGCAAATAGAACGCACAGCGTTGAATAGAGCTATGTGATTGGTTCGTGTGTCACCCTGTGACGCGCACTGTGAGACCTCATAGTAATGTTAGTGAATACGGTATTAATCATATTCTATGGTATATTAAGTGCAGTTGTACTACATAATAATAAATCACCCTTGTCCCTTATCCTGCTGTAATTATAAGTCATCATAGTATTTTTTATTGTTCTCATCTTATCACCTTTATTGGTTTACCTACAATAAAAGTAAAAGTGAGATTCAAGTAACATAAAATATAGAGTAGCGCTACTTCGTGAAATGAATAAAGCCGATCATAATCGGGTCTAATTGTCTGTCTCACTCACTAGAGACGCCTTCTTACCACCGTTACTAAGACCGTCGTAGAGTGAAAGAGACAACGATTTATCTGCTACGAAGAAAATAGTTTTCCAACTGAAATTTAAGAAAGTACCGTAAAAATTTTCCACAATTTTTTAAAATAATATTATTAACATAAATGTTTGAAATGTTAAAATTTAACAAATGACTTGTAATTTAGTTACTTGATACACTTCCAAGTGTAAATTAATTTTATTTGCAAGTCAAATACATATGAAAATGCATGCATAATCAATTTTACATTCATCTTGTAACATGTATTCCTTTAATATATTAAGTAAAAGAAAAGCTCTATAATATATTGATTGAGTCAAATTATTTCAAAACTTATTTAGCAAGGCTCAAGGGTAACAATTAACCAGCTCAATAAATAAAATATAATCTATATCTATCCATCGATGGATATAGAGCAATTCCTGAACCAATAAGTAGTTTTCTAGCTATTTTTTATTATTCCATTATTTTTTTAATTAATTCACTCAAGGAGTAACAGAAGGTAGTGTTATTTTGCTGGGTTCTTGGTACTTTAAGCTCTGTCTGTAGGTACTATGCTTTTCAAGAAAATATTCAAGTTATTTTTTGAAAAATCTTATTTGTCGTGGACAATAATATTCACAGTCATGGTCTAAAAGATCATAGGTAGTAAATCTGCGAAGGTACTTACCAAATCAATCAGTTGGGAGAGCCTCAGACCCAGTTTGACGAGCACAGTGTTATTGTTTTTATCAACCGGCCGGATCAGTCTATTGTAGTTGCTCAATAAATCGTCGTACAGCCTTTTGGCATCAGGATTCGCGTAACACACGGAAAAAATAAACAAAAACACTACGAAAATCCGCAACATCGCTGGAAAGCACTACAGTTTCGCAATGAAATGAGGTTAGGTTTTCTTTCAGCGATTTCCCGCGCGAAAGTTTTGTTTTTTTAGTCAATAAAACGTCATCGTGCGTTTTTTTTTATTGTGTGCCAGCATTAAACGTAAACAAAGGAGGTTTTTCGATCGCAATTTTGACAGCTACGCCCGAGAGACTGCAGCGACGGTGGCGCCTCTACCGATACTAGCGGGGAAACGCAGCAAATCCAAGCCCAGTGCGCCGACTCAGAACGAATTATTATTGGTGGCACCAATGAAATATTTCCCGATGTATGCGCTGTTACGGATAACGAGCTTCATTGATATTTACAATCATGGTAATCGTAAATTCCGCTGTGATTTCAGTAATATAATTGCAGCCGTTTCTCATTTCATAATCTTTGCATGCTTGCGCACGTGACGCCATGTTTTACTGTGTTGTTTCGGAAAGCAGTGTACAATTTATGACGTTTTTATGTTTATGCTATGAATATTTTATTACGGTACCCAGAAAATAACTTATTTATTTGTAATATTGTAACTTTCGGACATATTTTTTTTTATTTGGATATTACTCGTAATTCATAAGTTTTCTATCGTGTCTATTTCTAACGGAGAAAAAAATACGTACTTCCTTATGACTCAATGTATTACAAGAAAACAAATCTCTCTATTTTTTATTTGACGCCAAGGCATCGAAGTGTCATGCCTTAAAATATTAGGCAACGAATTTTTTGTCGTGGACTACATTATTTACGTGCCAATGTGTTGGATCGATGCTTAGAGCGCACGCGCGCTGGCCCATTCATGGCTTTAGCGCGTGTTTAGTTCGCACCGAACGCCAACAGATGGCGTTAGGTGTACGCCAATTAATGCTTCACGGTTAAATGGAGAGGCGAGAGGGCTCGACTTGTCGTTTTTGTAGCATTTAGTGATCTGTGATTGCTTGCAGCTTTTATAAGTTTTTTGCTGAGTCAAGATAGTTTTTGGGTTGCAGTTTAAATTCATTTTGCTTAGGTAAAAGTGTACATCCAATTGAATTAGTTTCTAATTTGGTTAGGCAAAATACAGCAGAAGCTTTTTTCCTGAAAAATGTTAAAGAGAAACAGAACATTACAGAACTTTCTACACCTTCAAAACCGTTGACTCTACATGCTTTTCTATAATTTATTATCACAACACGCAATAAACACAATCAATTTTTTTTAAAGTTTACGTTGTAATTTGCTTGATAAGAAAGATATTTTGTATTACCCAACAGTACATTAGACTTTTGTTGCAAAATTGCACATAATCACACCTACAATAAAATTCCTCAGTTTACCTTGACTTGATACCGTCTGTACTACCGAGGTCACTTTTAATGGCAAACTTCTGAACTCTATTTCGACCAAATTATAATCCAATTTGTCATCAAACGACTTCTGATAACCCAGATAACGCCTGATGACCTCGACAACCGGCAGTTATCTTATAAGAAAATAGCGTAATTCCACCAAGAATGCTCGCGGTCACCGTTTCAAGTAATGGCCCATTTACACAGAGCCGTGACGTGGACACCTGTAGCCCATATTTCTAATCCGGTCCCGCCCACAAGGAAAAACAGTTCCCTGGAAATGTGACGATATGTTGTGGCTAATGTATTTACATTTTCATTAGAGAACACGTATTGTACTGGTAAGCCCGAAATTTGCCGGTTGAAAGCTGTTGCTTTCGTTCCAAGGCCTTTTAGAGTATTTATAAATATTAAAAAATGTACGTGAATTCTTAATTAGTATAACCATTAGTATGTTTTAAATAGTTGAGGATGGGTTAAAATTAAATTAATAAAATTAAAATTCCTAATTAGTACCTACCTAGGAACTTTTCAGGGCACTTATACACGTTACAATACAGCTTTCCATTTGATTCTCTAATAGACTTACGCCCGTATTCACAAACATTACTATGAGGTCTCACAGTGCGCGTGGACGCACAGGGTGATACACGAACCAATCACAGAGCTCTATTCAACGCTGTGCGTTCGATTTGCTGCTTCACCTAAGCAAGCATCGTTTGTAAATATAGGCGTTAGACTTTGTTTACCATAAACATTGATAGTTTAGTTCACTGACAATTCATAGGCTGGGTTGCACCATCTTACTTTAACTTTAACAAACGTCAAATCTGTCAAACTCCATACAAAAACACAGGTTATCGTTATAGTTGTGGTCAAAGTTAGGTGGTGCAATTATGGCTGATAGTGTATTGATTGACGAGTGTAATAGAATTTCACAATAATTTTTTTCTCTTTTTTTAACTGTGTCAGCATGCAATGGCCTTATAAACGAGGACCACATAAAACACTGATACGCCATCATAATAAATACCGCGGGTAATTCTAAAATCTTAAACATGTTGCGCGCGTCGAACTCTGAATGATTGATGACACGCATGACGCGCGTCAGGGCCGTCAGAGCCGTCAGAGGCGTCAGAGCCGTTTCATTTTCCCCATGTCACTGGGAGAGCGCGTTCACACGAGGACGCTTCGTGTTTTTTGAGGAACTGTCTGTACGAACTGTTTTTTTTTACAGTGACAATACTTTATAAATGTCCGCGTTCACACGCATCACGAATCGTAAAATATAGCGGATAAGTCTTAAATCAAGTATCGCATTTTAAAATAAATAAGCCACGATAGCCGAACGGTAAAGGGGTCGGACTGACCGACTCGTGATCCGGGGAACGCAGGTTCACCAGCATATTTAGCTTAGTACGAGGGGCTAACGGGACTATTAGTAATTTGTGAAATAACATATACTAATAGTAATAATCTTTAAAAAAATACCTTCGACGGTAGAGCGCTACATCAATACTGGGTTATTAATTCCACGTTGGACAACACTGAAGTGACTCATGTAATTATAAAAATTACAGGAAGGCGCTACTATCAATACTTAGTTCCTATTTTTGCCACTTGACGTTTCAGTATCGTTGGATTATAAAAACACGAATGAAATGTTTTTTTTTAGATATGTTTTGACGAATCGTGAATTCCGCATGCAAACTAAACTTACATCCGTCATGACGTATCGTCTTTTTTGACGGATCCCGTGTGAATGCATCCGTATTCTGTTGTGAAGTCGGTTAATATCGCGTTAAAGATTGAGACGTGGCTCACTGGCTCCAGATATTCGAACTTTTGTGAAATTGAGATCGATGTTGTCAGTTTTCATTCGGATAAATTAGTATAGATTAGATTTGCCGTTTCGTGTCGAAGAAAGCCTTTGGTAATTAATTTGAAAGATTTTTTTTTATCATAAGCGTGAATAATTTTCATAATTTATTATTTCTAACTGAGAAATTATAAGATACCCATTTTCCTTATTTCCCTTCCTTTAGGAAAAGTTTTATCTTTTCCATTGATATCTTAACTCTATTTAAGACAAAATAAATCTACACATTGCTTGTTTTAAAAGTACAAACAAGTCCCTAACAGACAAAGGCACGAAAGTGACTGTCATAGTGTTTTTTCCGTGTAGGTAATTTTTGTATAACAGAAGAAAAACATTTTTATAACTTTTAAAATGATTGGTTGTTTTCAACTATGTGTTAAACCATCCTAGAAATAATAGTTAAAATTTTAGCAATAAAAGATTAAAAAGAGATTTTAAGGTATTAAGGAAATTATCCTTGTTACTCGTTAAAAATCATAGCTATTTCATTCTAAAAGCGTCCGCTGGCATTGCAAATTGAATACCCAGACCTATACCTACTCCAGCTTCAAAAACGAGGTAGCTACGCTGAAGGTTGTATGTCCTAATAGTTTGTTTACCTTGTTAGGGCGCGATCGCCCCACACATTTGGCAAGCCCGCCTCAAAGGTACTGCCAACGACTGCATTGCGGAGAGCATGCCTCTCCGCTTGAATTATGTAGGAACGGCACGTCAAGCTTCACACAGAGCTTTAAGCGGTTGAAATAAATGTCATTTTTCAACAAAAGTATTGGTGACTTTACTGTACACGACAAGAATACGTTTGGGGCTAAAGAATTGGAATTCGGGTAGGTTGGGTACTGAAAAACAGATGCGGTGCCTTGTTGCCGACTAAGAAAGGTCAGTGTGTTAGGTAAGGAAATTATTCTAGTGTAACGGCAGTCATACAATTTATGATTAGATTGTCAAAGCTTTTTTAGAATATTACGATCCATCAACAGATCCTAAAGTTACTCGATAACATCAAGCAATATTGAGTCTGCAGTGAAGATACTTATGCCCGTTTTCACCATCAATCCCTAATTTTGACCCCTATGGTATGTGTAAATGGTGACCCCTATGGTAACAAATAACAGGAATTTTGTTTACATAGGGGTCACTTAAAATTAGGGATTGATGGTGAAAACGGGCATTAGACTCGTATCGTGTTACAAAGTGAAAATTAAATTCAAACACAGGATTTTCAGCCCTATATTTTCAGGAAAATTTTCGCTACAATTGAAAGTTTGATTTTCATCCCATTATTCACTTCTCATTGGAGCTGGGAAGTAAATTACCTAGTCTCAAACCTATTTCCTACTGATTATTTTCTAGCGGGTCCAATAAAAGCTAAACATGTTTTATTGGCAATCAAGTTTTCATCATCATCATTTCAGCCACAGGACGTCCACTGCTGAACACAGGCCTCCCCCAATGACTTCCACATCGCACAGTTGGTAGCGGCCTGCATCCAGCGCCTTCCTGCTACCTTTATCAGTTTCAGTAATCAAGTTTTAGGTACCTAAATTTTCTGGTTACAGAACTTTTAATAGCCCCTCTATGAGATGAGAATAGTAACTTTTACACAAAAGTCGCAACTTAGTACTCCAGATCCAGAGCTGAGCAAATTGAATTGTGGTAAGTAAGTAACGGTAATAAGGTCTAAAATCCCGCATTACTTTTTGGACTATTTAAACTAATAAGTTCAAGACGCCTGACGCAGTCGTCCTACGTTTTGTTTCTGTAATGAACTGTTTAACGAACTACATTCTTTGTCTAGAGAAAAGCGGCTTTATTTTAAAAGCAAGCTGTAGTCTTGAAGCTTAG